AAAGAGAGGTAATCATCATTAAGGTTTGCAAGAATGGAATCAGAATGCCATTATTCATCACAATTTTATTTTTCAATTTTGCAAATCACAAGAAGGTTATCCTTCTTGGTTCACAAAAAGAAGGAAAAGAAATGCTATAAACTGTCCAAGAAATGCTACAAAGTTGTCCAAACAAACAAAATGAAAGCAAGCTGTCCAAACAAACAAAATGCAAGCAAGCTTTCCAAACAAACAAAGGCAAGCAAACTGTCCAAACAAACAGCAAAACTGACTCAAACAGAATGCCCAAACAACAGCACAAATTGGACAAATAACAACAAACAGCATCAACAAAAACAAGGCAGAAGTAAGTCAACAAAAGCTAAAGCAGGCAGCAAAGCTGAAGTATGGCAACATAAGATGCTAAGTCAAACAAAAATCTTGTTCAAGAGGCATAAATCATCATTTTCCATTGCAAACCTTTCAGAATTGGAAAAAAAGGCAAAAAAGCAATTTGCTTTCCTATTGTCATTGAGAGAGAAGAGAGGAAAAAGTCACCTAGGTTATTGGAATGCACAACTTTGCTACCCTGCCTGTCACAAGTTGCACAGAATATGCTAAAAAACAAAACTGCCACAAAAAAGCCATAAGGACAATATGTTAAAATATTCAAAATTGTTGGTTTCCCACCATTTTGAATATAGATAACAGAAGTAAGGTGAATATAATAAGAAGGAAGCAATAGAATAGTAGAGGAGGTCTCAAATCTGAACCATCATCAAATACAAAAAAATACACAACTCTCAAGCCAAAAACACAAGTCTAAAACTCAGTTAAAAACTCAAGTCTCCAACAGCAAAAACTGTCAAACCTCAAAAACTAAAAAAACACATAAGTCCCAAACTGATAAACCAGCAACCATCTCAAAACAGAGAAACATTATCAAACTCAAAAAACTTGAACACAAGCATCCAACCTTCAAAAACCTGTCAAACCTCAAAAACCAACATAAGCCTCAAACCTCCAAAACCTGCAAACAATACCAAACCTGATCTAAAACCAAAAACAGAGTCAACTATCAACAAACTCATCAAACCAGTAACAAAACACCATAACCAAAAACATAACCAAAAACCTGTAACAAACTGTCAAAATCCCAAACCTGGTCTAAAACCAAAAACAGAGTCAACTATCAACAAACTCATCAAACCTGTAACAAAGCCAAACATACCAAAACCCGTCAAAAACTCTCAAATACCAAACACTGTAACCAAAACCTGTTAACTCCCCAAAACAGAACACACAAGTCTCAAACTCAAAGAAACTGTCAAAGTCTTAAACCAAACCAGTAACATCATCCAAAAACCTGTAAAACTCCAAACTTATGCCCAGTTTCACAAGCTCAAAACACCATTTAACCATCATCAAAAAAATAAAAAAAATACAGTAGCAAAGCCCCAAAACCTAAGGCTAATTAACCATCCAACAAAACAATCACAAAAATCCCAAGATCCAGATAACCAATATCATCATCATTTAACAGAGAAAAACAGAGAAAAGATCCCAAACCAGAAAAGCAACGCATTCGTCCTCACCATTTCCCCTCGTACAACTCCGGCCACCATGGAACACGGTCACCGTCTCGCCTCTCCCTTTCTAAATCACAGAAAGAACTCCAACAGGTATGGATTCTTCATTTTTATCATAATCACATTTCTCTACATCTAAAATCATGAGTTTAATTAGCATAAAACATGAACAAGATATAAAAAACCATTGAAATCGTTAAGTTTCGAGAATAACAGAACCTTACCCCTTTTTTTCAAAGAAAGTCGTTAGCATTTGATTAGGGAGGCAAGGACGACCGTATTCCGGCAACAGAGAGTTCAGAGAGGTCGGGGGTGAACCAATTTCGTTTCTTTAGGATTCAAATCCGAAATTAGGGTTTTCAAAGAGATACGAGTCATGGTGAGATAAAGATGAAGAGAGTGATTCCGTTCGCAAAAAGAAATAGGGATGGATAGTGAGTTTGCCAAGGATGATACAGAGATTAAGCGAAAGAGATGAGAGCGGCGCCGCTGTGAACAGACAAAGGGTTTCAAGAACCCTAATTCCATTCCTCCCCTTAATCCATAACTAAGCGTGTTTAGGAATTTGGGCTCGTTTGTTTTGTAAACCCGTAAGCCCTTTTTTTTTGTTTTACTGGTTTCATACCCCCCCTTGGCCTGTTTTTTTAGTGTTACAGCAAAAGAGTAATTTAACTCTTTGGGCCTCATTCTCTAAAATCACTTAAGCCCATATTTTGTTAATTGGTTTTCTTCTTATTTTTTTTTTATACAAATACATAAAACTTAAAATATTTTTTTATTAAAATTGATTTAGGTTTTGTAATTTAATTTTTTATCATTTTTCTTTTCTTTAATAAATTTGTTTTAGATTTAATTTTACTCAATAAAACACCAAAAATAATAATAATAATAGAACTTAGTTTAGTCCTTCTTTAATTTATCTTGTTACTTACATAATTAAAAAAAAAACACAAAAAGATAATGCATACGATTTTAATTTTCTTTAGTCAATTAATTATTATTTTTTAGAATAGATTTCACCTTTTTTTCTTTTCAAGTAAATACTTAACATTTCATTTCCATATTTTGTTGATTTAATAGATTATCATAGCTTTAATTAAAATCGCACAAAATTCGATTTGGTTGTATTGTTTGATATTCAGATATTTCTATCTCATTTGATTCATACCCATTTGTAAAAATTGTACTCCCATTCCCGAACATTTTGTAATAGCGTAGAATTTCAATTCCCGTAATTTACTGTTTTCCATATACTGTATAGTAATTAGGCGTGTATGGCAAGATTCGAAAATCAATCGCTAGATGACCTAATCAAAGAATAAAATAACTTGAAACCAACACACTTTTTCACACGCGCACCTCTAGGGTAACCTCGCTCGTTGCCTCGGAAATACAATCATATCCCTCGAATATGGGACGCTTTAGCAATGACCCTTCGATAAAAAAAAAGACCGTCAGTCCCTCGATGACCCTCGATGTTGCCTTCGATTAAAACGATCTCGTCACTTACAAAAATTGCTAAAGCGTCTCACAAGTTGCTTTCGATGATTGTGAAATTGACCCGCGCCTGTCCCTTCACATCTAACGATGGGGCTTCTTACCAAATCAATGGTAAGATAGCATCATTAAAAGGAGGAAGAAAAGAACAATTTAAGACCTTTCGAGTAGATAGATTCACTCTTAGTTACTCGCTTGCTCACAATAAAAAACTTTTCACACCTACACTTTCATTTAAAAACATTTTAAAAAAGGCAAAACGTTTTGTATACGTTCTTATAGAGACGAGAACCATTGCAAAACCTCTTTTCAAAACACTTTTTGAAACACGATTCACAAACACATATTTGAACCACTTTTCGAAACAAAACTTTGTATACGTTCTTATAGAGACGAGAACCATTACAAAGATATTTTTCGAAATACTTTCAAAGCCCACACCACAAGCACACTATCAAATGAAATCAAGTGATCTAAATGAGTAACTAAGAGCCCATGGAAAAACATGGATGAAAAGGGTGCTAATACCTTCCCTTTTCATAATCTACCCCCCGAACCCGAGAAATAATCTCGAAAGGTCTTTCCTGTGCTTTTTTACCTTTCCTTTTGGATAAAAGAAAAGCTGGTGGCGACTCTTGCTAACCGCACAAGTGCGATCGAAACGCAAAACATCAAGTCAGTTCTCTCACTGTATCACAGAATGCATATTTTCAAAGTTTTTGATATATGTGTCGACACATGTAAGTCATGAGTCAACACCTTCAATGCATGTTTCGACACATATATGTCATGAGTCGACTCATAGCAGGAAAACTGCTTCTATGTTTATACCTAAAGTGACCTATGAATCGACTCATCCAAACAAAGGCTACAGACTTTAAAATGCATCAATATATGTCAAATCATACCAGGTATGTGTCGACTCATAGAGGAATTTTTCTTTTATGTGTCGACCTGAAAAGCTTTATGGCTCGACTCATGCAATACATAAGTTACAACCTTAAAAAAAGTATCCACGTGTGTTGACTCATAGCATGTATATGTCGACACATAGACCTGTTTTTCACATAAAGCCTGTTTGTAATGCATGAAACCTTTTCTAAATAGTTCCAATGTTTCCTAATACTAAGATTCACATTAAGACTCATTAAGACTCAGAGAATACCGTTCAATATACATACTATAAATTCTAAAATGCCATAGTTTTTACATCATACAAAACATATCTAATAGGAACATGCACTCACATACTCCCCCTTTTTAATGATGACAAAACTTTCGACAATGCATTTTATATCTTAATGAAGGCTCCCTCTGAATGTGTGCATCATTGCATATGTTTATCCCCCTTAGGCAACATCAAAAAGAGACAAAGCAAGCCTTTAGAAGTATCACATAGATACAAGATAACACATATATCATATACCAAAATCACACAGAGGATTTTGAAAAGAAAGAGTGTGCACTGACATACACCACATACATGAAATTACACAAAAATATAAATACATAAACATAGATAAAAAGAAATTTAAACAATATTATAATATTGTTACCCCAAAAGCAAATACAAATAACATAAACTATTGTTTCACTTCAATGAAGTGATAAAATTGTGAAGACATAAACATAAAAACACAAAATACATGATGACTCAAAACATTAAATGCATGATAGAACTATTCCAAAAGGGGTTTTGATCTAACATCACGAGAACTCATAACTTTAACGTTTTCCACGACCTCCCAGTCTTGGCCTCAACTCGCGATGTCAACCGTGTCCATCATTTCTAAAGTGATGATCCAAGAAATCACGCTTCTCCTAGTAGAATTGTGCGTAGTGGTATTGACTCTCATCTTGAATAGAAATCATGTGATTTATATTGGAAATTGTGGCATCATGATTAGATTTAATCTCATTCTTCATAGAAAGAAGCTATTCAGTTACATAAGAGGCAAAATCTTCATAGTTGCTATCTTGTGTTGTCATGTGCTCTTGGATGAGACTAAATCGTTCCTCTTGAGCTGCCTCAAAAGCAACTCTCCTACGACAATCATCCTCGTAGCGCTCATCTTTCTTAGTCCACGTGTTATGAAGCATGGTGATAATGGGAGACTCATTTCCATATTCAACACCAATCCCACTTCCTTGACCATCTCCATGAAAAACATCATGTATTACCGCATCAACTTGAGGAGCACCAATAGGTTGATCGTCAACCACATGTGTTTTAGCTGTAGAATCAATAAACTCATCAAGGTCATTAAAGTTATAAATTTTCTTACCATTCTTCTTAACACGGAAATAATACACCTTGCAGTCTTCATCCCAAAAATATTCCATGTTGGTTAAAGTTCACTGGAAGAACACTTGAGCCATATCAGGTGACTTATACTGAATATTTGAATTCTCGATGTTGAAGTGCTTAAGGATTTTAGAAATCATGAAACATAATAAAAGTAAGTTCATTTGTCGTATTCTTTGATGCAAAACATGTGGGAGACAAAGTAGTTAGCTCAATTGATCCAAATTTTGTGAAGGAGGATGTAGATAAGGTGGATTTTAGTTTGGTCAACCCTCGAGTGACCATCATTCTTTGGCCATAACATGTGAGAAACAAACTAGTGCAAAATATGAGGAACCATTTTCAAATGATCAGGTGTTATGGATTTGGACCAGTCATCAGACCGAGGAGCCTTTAGCATTTCATTCGTGTGAATGTGCCATTTAAATTCTTGATGAAGATTTGTATTCGTCACCAACGGTTCAACATCAACACTAACAACAATAATTCCAAACAACAAATTCCAAAGAGCATCAATGAAATCATAAATTGTATTACCTATTGTAAACTTGAAGGTAGAGCCACGTGTATCGTGCAACATGGAGTAGAACACACAAATAAGATCCTCATTGTAATCGTGTGAAAGCTTCAAGAAGTAGTTGATTTGTTGATGCTCAACAAGACTAACAACATCCAGAATGTCCAATGTGCTAGAAATAACAGGTTTCCAAACATGTCGCTTCATAACAAGACGATTTTTATGTTTCTCTTTAATTTCATTCATAAAATCAAGAGAAACCAACGGAAAAGCAGTTTTTGGAGCGTAGAGGAAGAGCCAACCTCCTTGAGATCATCCTTGTTCTAGATAACCTTTGGAACTACAATGATTTTGTTAAACTGAATGTGCATGAGGGTATTTGACAGAATGTGTGAATGAAGTAGTAAGTTGTTTGAGGGATATTTGAATACCCACAAACACAAATAGATGATAGAAATGAAGGAACACATAAATATGATAATGAAACCTAAAAATAAATGCAAATCTGGAGTTTGGAGGAATTGGGTGTGAATGGAAACTTGTGAGGTTAATGGTATTATGGAAGAGGAAATTGGGGATAATGAGTGAATGAGATGTTGAAGTGAAGAGGTATAATGATAGAGTTTTAGGGAAAGGAATAGATTTGTTTGTAAGTGAGTGTCGGTGATCTAGCCCCAAGGTAACCCTACTTTTAAGTTTCTCCCCAACAGAGTCGTCAGTTCTGTGATACGGTGGGAGAACTGACTTGGGTGTTTTGTGTTTTATCTCAATTGTTGCGGTTAGCAAGAGTCGCCACCAACTTTTCTTTTATCCAAAAGGAAAGGCTGAAAAGAACAAGAAATACCTTTGAGATTATTTCTTGAGATCGGGGGGTAGATCATCAAAAGGGAAGATGTTAGCACCCTTTTCATCAATAGTTATCTATGGGATCTTAGTTGCTTGCTAGATCACTTGATTTTTGTTTGAAAATATGCTTTGTGTGGTTTTTGAAAGTATTTTGAAAAGGCGTCATCGTTTAGGCAAACTTTGTAATAGTTCTCATTCGTAAGAACGTATACAAAGTGTTGATCTTTTGAAAATGTTTCATGTTTGGAAAATGTTTTGAAAGTGTTTTTGAAAGTATTGGTGTTTGTTTTGAAAATAGGCAAGGATGTTTATTTTGAAAATGAGCAAGCAACTAGGAACAATCTACCTACTCAAAAGTCTTAGTTCATTTCTTCTTTTCCTTTGATATTTCTATCTTACCATTGATTCGTAAGAAGCCTTATCTTTGGATGTAAAGGGACGGGCATGGGTCATCATATAATCATGATATCAATTTTGTGAGATATCTTAGCATTTCCCTTTGAGGGACTAAGATCATTTTGAAAGGCAACATTGATAGCGTCATCGAGGGACTATGATCTTGTATTTTTTTATTGCTTTTTGCTAAGACATCCCACATGCATAACATGGCCATTTTTGTAAGGCAACAAAGTGGAATTACCCCCAAGGGTGCAATTGTGCAAGTGTGTTTGATTTACATGCATTGTTTGTCTTGAATTAGGGTTTGCTAATTGTTGATTTTAGTCTTGCCATACAAACCCTAATTTACTAGCATTTATATAAAGCGATAAATTGCAGAAAGTAAAATTACTAAGCTATTACATCATTAGGGGAGGGGGTATACAAATTTACAAATGGGGATTTGCAAGAAAATTAAACTTAATTAATTATTACAACCATATTGAATAATATACAAGAATTGAATAAATAATGTGCAACAGATAAAATGGAAAAGAAATCATTTTGTTTGGTTTTCATGAAAGGGTTTGATTTTGACTTAATTAAGCAAAGGATTAATCAAAATTAAAATAAACTTTAACCTAAATTAATTAAGAAAGAAATTAAGTTAAAAAATTATTTTTAGGGTTTTCATGAAAAGGTTTTAAATTTATAATGTGAAAATTAATTAATTAAAAGAAATCTAAGTTCTAAATTAATTTTAAATAAAAAGAAAAATGTAATAATTAAATCTAAATCTAAATATTAATTTACTAAGAAAAAAGAAACTAATTTATTAAGAAAAATGTCTTTTTTGTTCTTTTTATTTTATAAAAAAAATAAAGTATATAAGTGTAAATAATAAATAAAAATATTTTATATTTTTTAATAATAATAATAACAATAGTAATAAAAAATAAAATAAAATTGAAATAAAATAAAATAAGAAAAAAATAAATAAAAATGAAATAAATAAAATAAAGTTGGGCCAGGTGTGCAAAAGTATGCAGGGGTTAGAAGAAGCAGAAAATGGAAGGCCCATTGTTGGAGGCCCATGCGCCTGTTGCTGGAACAAAAAAGGAAGAGAAAATATGAAAAATGAACAAAAAGGTAGTGCTGGGTGTTGAACCCATGACTTCCCACATATACACGCACTACCTTTGCCACTGGGGTGGATGTACATCTGGTAACATTGGTGAAACAATAAACATATAACACAAATCAAGTCCTGAATATGACTTCATCTTCAACCTCCAGCCTAAACATTTGTAACTTCACCAATTCTCAACAAAAATGAAATATGCAAACATGAAAGTTGCTCCATTTTTCCATACGAATCCAACCTTATAAATACGTAAGCTATAAATCAAAGATGAATGAGAATTTCTAAAAGTACCAAATTTGGACCTAATTATTTTCAGAGATTCAAACCTAAAATTCTCTAAGCTCAATCAATATAAATGAAATCTATGGACATGTACAAATTCATAGCAATGATATCTACATTTTGTCTTTAAAAATGCAAGCCTAACAATGCCTAAATAATGAGATGAAAAGTTAGAAAACTCACTTTGCAGCCGGAGATCGTGTTTTGAGTTAGAGTTTGATTCAAGTTGTTGTGATGATCAGGTTAGCTTCCTAGAGTTCCCAGGAAGTTATTCCAATAATTACTTTGAGCTGGAAGTGTATGAATCGTGTTGGAGAAGTCCAAGTACAAGCTTCTGATTTTAGTTATGTAGGGTGAAGGAAATTGTGTTACAGAACTGTAACAGGTGTTGGGATGACTTATATTTTAGGTAAGGAAGCTTTTGAAATGGTTTTGCCCATAAACGCACGAGTGAAATGGAAGTTTGATGTGTAAAGTCGGAATTTGCACAACAATGGTGTTTTGAGGCAATTTCTGGCTTGAGGGAGTTTTAGGGAGTTTTCAGGCTTACAAACTTGTGTCCTAAGTTGCATAATAGTGTCTCAATTTATAGGAAAAGGTTTTGAGAGCTTGGGGTGATCAGAAGTACAAGTTCACATGTTATGGCACTTTGGCTTGTTTTTGAAGCAAGATTGATACACATTGTCCCAATGCATAGTACATGGCTATCTAGAGTGGTTACAAGCTTTAAACATGTTTATCTGACTTTGTATGTTGAGTGTATGCTGAACAAATAAGTTAGAAGCTCAAGACAAGTTGACTTTGTGATTAAAGCAACTTTTCAAGAATGGAATGGTAACTTTGTGCCATAAATGGAAATGCAATTTGGATAATGGCTCAAATGCTTGGACAATGGCTCTATCAGTTGTGTAAACATTCAATTATTGAGTGATTAGCAAGTTTGAAGCATGCAAAGAAATATTTGTACAGCATGCTTGAAGATTGGATCAAGTGTTCTTCACAAATTTGCCTTGCAAAACAAGAATGAAACCCTAACTTCTTGCCTTCGATTCTCCTTGCTCAAGTATGATCTCAATGTATTCTTGGATATTTTGGAAAGATTGTAACATCCTCTACAACCTCTATGTTGGACATTTTTGAAGATTCATCTTGGAACTATGTGAAAAATTGCCATGAAGTTAGGTCAAAATCCTGCCTAAACTAGGGCAAAATTTCACTAAGTTCCCAAGTTTCATGAACATGTCTTCTTAAAATCATAACTTGAAATCCATGCATTTCTAGAAAAAGTTATGTTCTACAATATTTTAGATATCATTGAGATCTAAAACTTTCATGTTGGAAGTTTCCTTTGAATTATCTTGCATCATGGTGAAAGTTTGGCTCAAAGTTGTGAAAAAATATGAATTTTCCAACACTTAGAAAAATTTCTAAGTTTAGAAATTTTGACTTTTCAAAATGAAATCTTGAATTTTTGATTTCTTGATGAACAAGTTTCATATTTTGACATGTCTTGATGAATTGTGATCTTTGATACTTAATTTTGATCAAAAAGTCAAAGTTTGACTTTTCAGTGTACAATTGACTTTTCATCAGTTGACTGAAATTCATCTGTCAATCAATTAATCTTGAGAGATGTTTTGAACCATGTCATTAGGTAAAAATGAAGTATTTTAATCCTTGAGATCATAACTCAAACCAATCAATCATTTGCTAGGTCAAAAATCAGAAATTGCACCTTCTCAGTCAAAACCCTAATTTTGACCATTTTGCCCTTTTGATGATCTGATCAAATTTCTTGAGGAATTGTGATCCAAACTTGATCAAATGACATATATGAGTTCATAATGTTTATATGGACTAAAAATTATGAAGTTTGACTATAAATTGACCACAGTTTACTTTTTCCCCAATATAGCTGATTTTAGGTCAACTGATCAATTAACTAAGCAAAAACATGATCCAAGAATTGAAACTTGACATGAGCAATCTTGAGGGTCCAAATTGATCCATGGAAGTCATATGGGGCATTAAAAGTTCATTTGTCCTTGTGTAAACTCAAACCCTAATTTTCAGTTATTAGTGCTTAAGGAGGTGTCTTGAGCTGATCAAACCTTGTACAGTCTTGAAACAAGGGAGATCTTGTGAGATATTACTTGAGAAATAAGATGGAAAATTTTGGGGTACAATAGTTGCCCCTGTTCAATCTTCTTAAACCTGAAGAGTTAGATTGGCGAATCCGTCATTCGTGACTTGAAGGTGGAAGATGATTGAACACTAGAGTGCCCAGAAATTTGCACTCGAAGACGGATTGGGAATGGGCGTATAGATTACATTTAGAGGAATGATGGTAAAAACTGGTAGAATCATCAGCATAAATCTTTGGTCGATTTATACTAAAACTTGACGTTTTACCTGTGGGAAAAAGGGTTAGTTAAATGCAGATGTATGCATGATGTTTACAAGATGTGGTACTATGCTAAATGCATTTTGTATGTATATGCTATGATGTATGAATGTGAGATGTATGTTTTTCTGGTAAAATAATCCCTGACTGCTG